GTTTTATATTTGTATTCTTTAAATATATAGTACAACTGTTACACATGCATCTGAGCCTGATTTATAATCATTTTAAAATGGCAGTTTTATTGAATAAGTGTGCAGCATGTGGCCCTCTAGTAGCATCAACAATAAACTAAACTGTAAAAAATAACTCTACGTTCAATCTAATTCAGTATTAGAGATATCACGATCTAAGTATGTGTTGTGGATGATTTTTTTCAGCTACTACCACATCAGATTTTGACTCAGTGTCTGCTAAAATCTACATGGTATCCCTTTTCTCTAAAATGCACCACTCTGAATCCCAGTTGCACTCAGTTACACTATTTCTTTAGTAATATTGACAACAGACATGTCCGTAGCTTGCGGCACAGAGCTGTTGGGTTGTAAAAAAAGTGGTAAGGTTCCACTTGCGCACACACACACACACACACACACACACACACACACACACACACACGAAAACACACACTCACACAAAGCCAACGCACAGAGGGAGAGAGGTCAAAAAGTGAAGTAAACAAAATTATTCCTAATTTAAACTGGCGACACTAGTCTGCCTAAACGATTTGATTTCAGTTTTGCTCACTGGCAAAATTTATTACAGAATACTTTGTTTGAAAATGATAAATTTCTCTAACTGATAAGATCCCACCAAAAATGATGGTCTATAAACGAAACCATGTATATTTTGTGCTGATTTTTTTTAAATACTTGTATTACAAAAATGTCTTTACTACATTGATATTTGTCATATTTGGTGGACAGYGAGTTATTAGAAGGGCTCAAATTCAGACAGACAGGGAACTTGCAGTAGCTCACCCACATTTATGCATTTTTTTAGAGTTCCAAAATGTATAGTTTGTAAAGACGTCGGACCCAGGAATGCACACCAAGAGAAGTTTGAGAACCTAAATCAGGGATGGGAAACTGGTGACCCAGGAGCTGTTTACGTCCTTCACACTCACTCAAAGAAGCTCATTTCTGAAAATTACAAAAAAGTGTCTCAGTGGTACTTAATTGGTTGCAATTCAAAGTCTGCCACTAGTTGGCACCTACAACACAGACACCACCTCGTTCACGTGTCTTCTCCACCCTTGAGGAAGAAACGAAGGAAAGAAAACTGGACAAATGAAATTGCACGATTCAGGTGAAATGGGACGTACACTATCTGTTCACAGAATTTCAAATAAACCTGTTTAGTCTGCTTTGAGACGCTCTCTGCTATGAAGGATTTTAATATGTCATAACCCATTGCACAAAGATAAATATGAAAAGTTTACTGAAGTAGCAAGTACGTAAACTACTTTTTTTAAATACAGTATTACCACAACCACACAGGAGTCTGCACTCAAAAAGTCTTGTGCTGTCACTCTTCAGATGACTAAAATAAGTGTTAATTATTTTTTAAATGTTTTATATTTGTATTCTTTAAATATATAGTACAACTGTTACACATGCATCTGAGC